GTTACTGATGTAGCCTTTGTTACTTTGGGTCCCAGCTCTCTGCAGGTCATTGACGCGGTCCCCCCGTGTGGTTCTGGATTTTTTGCTTCTCACCGTTCTTGTGATCATTTGACCCCACGGGGTGAGATCTTGCGTGGAGCCCCAGATCGAGGGAGATTATCAGTGGTCTTGTATGTCTTCCATTTTCTAATAATTGCTCCCCACAGTTGATTTCTTCACACCAAGCTGCTTACCTATTGCAGATTCAGTCTTCCCAGCCTGGTGCAGGTCTACCATTGTGTTTCTGGTGTCCTTTGACAGCTCTTTGGTCTTGGCCATAGTGGAGTTTGGAGTGTGACTGTTTGAGGTTGTGGACAGGTGTCTTTTATACTGATAACGAGTTCAATAGGTGCCATTAATACAGTTAACAAGTGGAGGACAGAGGAGGCTCTTAAAGAAGAAGTTACAGGTCTGTGAGAGCCAGAAATCTTGTTTGTTTGTAGGTGACCAAATACTTAGTTTACCGAGGAATTTACCAATGAATTCATTAAAAATCCTACAATGTGATTTCCTGGATTCTTTCCCCCCATCCTGTCTCTCATAGTTGAAGTGTACCTAGGATGAAAATTACAGGCCTCTCTCACCTTTTTAAGTGGGAGAACTTGCACAATTGGTGGCTGACTAAATACTTTTTTGCCCCACTGTATGTATCCATCCATCTATCATCCATTCGTTCATCTACCTATCTATCCATCTGTTCATCCATCTATATATTTATCCATCCATCCATCTCTCCATCCATCCATCCATCTATCCATCTATATATTCATCCATCTATCTATCTATCCATCCATCTATCCATCCATCTATCCATCCATCCGTTCATCCATCCATCCATCTATCCATCCATCCATCTATCCATCCATCCGTTCATCCATCCATCTATCTATCCCTCCATCCATCTATCCATCCATCCATCTATCCATCTATCCATCTATCCATCTATCCATCTATCCATCCATCCGTTCATCCATCATCCATCTATCTATCCATCCATCCATCTATCCATCCATCCATCTATCCATCTATCCATCTATCCATCTATCCATCCATCCATCTATCCATCTATCCATCTATCCATCCATCCATCCGTTCATCCATCCATCCATCTATCCATCCATCCGTTCATCCATCTATCTATCCCCCCATCTACCTATCTTTATAAATAATCTAGATTCAGTGTTGGGTGTTTTTGAGGAAGTTTTACCAGCAGAGCGTCGAAGATCAGCTGCACATTTCTGTTCTTCTTCAGGTCGATGTAATTCATCAGTAAAGAGCGAGTGTCCAACTGCATGAAGACAGCCAGCAACTGCAGAGGAGAGAGAAACAGTATAATACAAAATACACTTTCCCAGGTTTATTACCTTATTCTCTCCCGTGTTATGGGAAATATATAGCAGACAAAGGAACAGAGTTCTTTACATCAGAATCTCCAGTCTTTTTTCCTGTAAAGCAGTTTTATAAATGTGGGCGGGACATCTCTAAGCGGTTGACCAGTCACAACAGAGCCCGGCCAGCTAACCAATCAGAGCAGACTGGGCTCTGGTTTCAGACAGAGGGGTTGAAAAGAGGTGCTGCAGCACAGACAGTAGAGAGAAATAAGAGCTTTTGAACATTAAAGCATGGAGACATGTAGAGACACTACATACTGATATACACCTGAACATCAGCAGGAGAGGACTCTTTAAAGTAGAGACACTACATACTGATATATACCTGATCATCAGCAGGAGAGTACTCTTTAAAGTAGAGACACTACATACTGATATACACCTGAACATCAGCAGGAGAGGACTCTTAAAGTAGAGACACTACATACTGATATACATCTGAACATCAGCAGGAGAGGACTCTTTAAAGTAGAGACACTACATACTGATATACACCTGAACATCAGCAGGAGAGGACTCTTTAAAGTAGAGACACTACATACTGATATACACCTGAACATCAGCAGGAGAGGACTCTTTAAAGTAGAGACACTACATACTGATATACACCTGAACATCAGCAGGAGAGGACTCTTTAAAGTAGAGACACTACATACTGATATACACCTGAACATCAGCAGGAGAGGACTCTTTAAAGTAGAGACACTACATACTGATATACACCGGAACACCAGCAGGAGAGGACTCTTTAAAGTAGAGACACTACATACTGATATACACCTGAACATCAGCAGGAAAGGACTCTTTAAAGTAGAGACACTACATACTGATATACACCTGAACATCAGCAGGAGAGGACTCTTTAAAGTAGATACACTATATACTGATATACACCTGAACATCAGCAGGAGAGGACTCTTTAAAGTAGAGACACTACATACTGATATACACCTGAACATCAGCAGGAGAGGACTCTTTAAAGTAGATACACTATATACTGATATACACCTGAACATCAGCAGGAAAGGACTCTTTAAAGTAGAGACACTACATACTGATATACACCTGAACATCAGCAGGAGAGGACTCTTTAAAGTAGAGACACTACATACTGATATACACCTGAACATCAGCAGGAGAGGACTCTTTAAAGTAGAGACACTACATACACCTGAACATCAACAGGAGAGGACTCTTTAAAGTAGAGACACTACATGCTGATATACACCTGAACATCAGCAGGAGAGGACTCTTTAAAGTAGAGACACTACATACACCTGAACATCAACAGGAGAGGACTCTTTAAAGTAGAGACACTACATACTGATATACACCTGAACATCAGCAGGAGAGGACTCTTTAAAGTAGAGACACTACATACTGATATACACCTGAACATCAGCAGGAGAGGACTCTTTAAAGTAGAGACACTACATACTGATATACACCTGAACATCAGCAGGAGAGGACTCTTTAAAAGTAGAGACACTAACATACACCTGAACATCAACAGGAGAGGACTCTTTAAAGTAGAGACACTACATGCTGATATTACACCTGAACATCAGCAGGAGAGGACTCTTTAAAGTAGAGACACTACATACTGATATACACCTGAACCATCAGCAGGAGAGGACTCTTTAAAGTAGAGACACTACATACTTGATTATACACCTGAACATCAGCAGGAGAGGACTCTTTAAAGTAGAGACACTACATACTGATATACACCTGAACATCAGCAGGAGAGGACTCTTTAAAGTAGAGACACTACATACTGATATACACCTGAACATCAGCAGGAGAGGACTCTCCTTAAAGTAGAGACACTACATACACCTGAACATCAACAGGAGAGGACTCTTTAAAGTAGAGACACTACATGCTGATTATACACCTGAACATCAGCAGGAGAGGACTCTTTAAAGTAGAGACACTACATACTGATATACACCTGAACATCAGCAGGAGAGGACTCTTTAAAGTAGAGACACTACATACTGATATACACCTGAATATCAGCAGGAGAGGACTCTTTAAAGTAAAACACTACATACTGATATACACCTGAACATCAGCAAGAGAGGACTCTTTAAAGTAGAGACACTACATACTGATATACACCTGAACAACAGCAGGAGAGGACTCTTTTAAAGTAGAGACACCACATACTGATATACACCCTGAACATCAGCAGGAGAGGACTCTTTAAAGTAGAGACACTACATACTGATATACACCTGAACATCAGCATGGAGAGGACTCTTTAAAGTAGAGACAACTACATACTGATATACAACCTGAACATCAGCAGGAGAGGACTCTTAAAGTAGAGACACTACATACTGATATACACCTGAACATCAGCAGGAGAGGACTCTTTAAAGTAGAGACACTACATACCTGATATACAACCTGAACATCAGCAGGAGAGGACTCTTTAAAGTAGAGACGCTACATACTGATATACACCTGAACATCAGCAGGAGAGGACTCTTTAAAGTAGAGACACTACATACTGATATACACCCTGAACATCAGCAGGAGAGGACTCTTTAAAGTAGAGACACTACATACCTGATATACACCAGAACATCAGCAGGAGAGGACTCTTTAAAAGTAGAGACACTACATACTGATATACACCTGAACATCAGCAGGAGAGGACTCTTTAAAGTAGAGACACTACATACTGATATACACCAGAAACATCAGCAGGAGAAGGACTCTTTTAAAGTAGAGACACTACATACTGATATACACCTGAACATCAGCAGGAGAGGACTCTTTAAGTAGAGACACTACATACTGATATACACCTGAACATCAGCAGGAGAGACTCTTTAAAGTAGAGACACTACATACTGATATACACCTGAACATCAGCAGGAGAGGACTCTTTAAAGTAGAGGACACTACATACTGATATACACCATGACCATCAGGCAGGAGAGGACTCTTTAAAGTAGAGACACTACATACTGATTATACAACCTGAACATCAGCAGGAGAGGACTCTTTAAAGTAGAGACACTACATACTGATATACACCTGAACATCAGCAGGAGAGGACTCTTTAAAGTAGGACCACTAAATACTGATATACACCTGAACATCAGCAGGAGAGGACTCTTTAAAGTAGAGAGACAACTACATACTGATATACACCATGAACATCAGCAGGAGAGGACTCTTTAAAGTAGAGACCTACAATAATGATATACACCTGAACATCAGCAGGAGAGGACTCTTTAAAGTAGAGACACTACTACTGATCTATACACCTGAACATCAGCAGGAGAGGACTCTTTAAAGTAGAGACACTACATGAACTGATATACACCTGAACATCAGCAGGAGAGGACTCTTTAGTAGAGACACTACATACTGATATACACCTGACATCAGCAGGAGAGGACTCTTTAAGTAGAGACACTACATACTGATATACACCTGAACATAGCAGGAGAGGACTCTTTAAGTAGAGAACTACATACTGATATACACCTGAACATCAACAGGAGAGGACTCTTTAAAGTAGAGACACTACATACTGATATACACCTGAACATCAGCAGGAAGAGACTCTTTTTAAAGTAGAGACACTACATACACCCTGAACATCAACAGGAGAGGACTCTTTAAAGTAGAGACACTACATGCTGATATACACCCTGAACATCCAGCAGGAGAGGACTCTTTTAAAGTAGAGACATTACATACTGATATACACCTGAACATCAGCAGGAGAGGACTCTTTAAAGTAGAGGACACCTACATACTGATATACACCTGAACATCAGCAGGAGAGGACTCTTTTAAAGTAAAGACACTACATACTGATATACACCTGAACATCAGCAGGAGAGGACTCTTTAAGTAGAGAACTACATACTGATATACACCTGAACATCAGCAGGAGAGGACTCTTTAAAGTAGAGACACTAACATACTGATATACACCTGAACATTCAGCAGGAGGAGGACTCTTTAAAGTAGAGACACTACATACTGATATACACCTGAACATCAGCAGGAGAGGACTCTTTAAAGTAGAGACACTACATACTGATATACACCAGAAACATCAGCAGGAGAGGACTCTTTAAAGTAGAGACACTACATACTGATATACACCTGAACATCAGCAGGAGAGGACTCTTTAAAGTAGAGACACTACATACTGATATACACCCTGAACATCAGCAGGAGAGGACTCTTTAAAGGTAGAGACACTACATACTGATATACACCTGAACATCAGCAGGAGAGGACTCTTTAAAGTAGAGACACTACATACTGATATACACCAGGACATCAGCAGGAGAGGACTCTTTAAAGTAGAGACACTACATACTGATATACACCTGAACATCAGCAGGAGAGAGGACTCTCTTAAAGTAGAGACACTACATACTGATATACACCTGAACATCAGCAGGAGAGGACTCTTTAAAGTAGAGACACTATATACTGATTATAAAAAAGAAGCAAAACACCTGAACATCAGCAGGAGAGGACTCTTTAAAGTAGAGACACTACATACTGATATACACCTGAACATCAGCAGGAGAGGACTCTTTAAAGTAGAGACACTACATACTGATATACACCTGAACATCAGCAGGAGAGGACTCTTTAAAGTAGAGACACTACATACTGATATACCACCTGAACCATCAGCAGGAGAGGCACTCTTTAAAGTAGAGACACTACATACTGATATACACCTGAACATCAGCAGGAGAGGACTCTTTAAAGTAGAGACACTACATACTGATATACACCTGAACATCAGCAGGAGAGGACTCTTTAAAGTAGAGACACTACATACACCTGAACATCAACAGGAGAGGACTCTTTAAAGTAGAGACCACTACATGCTGATATACACCTGAACATCAGCAGGAGAGGACTCTTTAAAGTAGAGACACTACATACTGATATACACCTGAACATCAGCAGGAGAGGACTCTTTAAAGTAGAGACACTACATACTGATATACACCTGAACATCAGCAGGAGAGGACTCTTTAAAGTAAAGACACTACATACTGATATACACCTGAACATCAGCAGGAGAGGACTCTTTAAAGTAGAGACACTACATACTGATATACAACCTGAACATCAGCAGGAGAGGACTCTTTAAAGTACAGACACTACATACTGATATACACCTGAACATCAGCAGGAGAGGACTCTTTAAAGTAGAGACACTACATACTGATATACACCTGAACATCAGCAGGAGAGGACTCTTTAAAGTAGAGACACTACATACTGATATACACCTGAACATCAGCAGGAGAGGACTCTTTAAAGTAGAGACACTACATACTGATATACACCTGAACATCAGCAGGAGAGGACTCTTTAAAGTAGAGACAACTACATACTGATATACACCTGAACTCAGCAGGAGAGGACTCTTTAAAGTAGAGACTCTACATACTGATATACACCTGAACATCAGCAGGAGAGGACTCTTTAAAGTAGAGACAACTACATACTGATATAACACCTGAACATCAGCAGGAGAGGACTCTTTAAAGTAGAGACACTACACACTGATATACACCTGAACATCAGCAGGAGAGGACTCTTTAAAGTAGAGACACTACATACTGATATACACCTGAACATGAACAGGACAGGTCCTCTTGAAGGACTCACTTTATTCAGCATGTGTTTCCCTGCTCTCACCTCCTGGTAGTCTCCCAGTGGAGTCAGGTATTGGAGGATGAGTCTCTGCTCAGTGGCGGCGCTCAGTGGAGAGAGACGGTACTCTGATCCGATCACCATGGAGCTCATTTCAGACCAGGAGGCGCTCCTCTCCTCCTCTTCCTCTTCCTCCTCTCCCTCATTCATTTTCTGCTTGACTTTCCTCCCGTTGTCCTGCATCGCTCGTCTCTTCCCTAATCCTCCTCTTCTTCCTCCTCCTCCTCCTCCTCCTCTTCCTCCAAGATCTGGCCTGGCTTGGTAAACAAAATCCGGCAGAAGTCGCGTTTTGTCTCCGTTCTTTTTTGCAGAGCAGAGCTTAAACTCAGCATCTTCTTCTTCCTCGTCCTCTTTTTTCTTCTCGCCTTCCTCCTCTTCCTCGTTTGTTTTTAAGTTCTGGTGTGTTGAGGCGCTCGAGGTTTCGGCCTGAGGCAGATTCTTGGCGTCTTCACTCTGCAGTTCATGCAGGCGCTGGATCATGATTGGCACCTGCAGGAAACACGAGACTTCTTAATATCATCTACAATTGATCCTTTTACATTTCTACCTTAATCTCTCAAATGACGTCTGTTGTAGCGGACAGAAACCATGGCATTTCATTTTAGTTGGACTCTTATTATTCTTATTCTTATTAATTGTCTATTATAGTGTACTCAATTGTATTCAGTACATTTCATATTGTGTATTATAGAAACTCTTTCTTTGTTTCCCTGTGAGCAGGATATCTTCTGGTCGTAAATTCGTAAAAGTAAGATCGCTGAAAACAGACAAATATACTGAAATCTTGTTTTGTAAATCTCAGGTACTTCAGGAAACCAATGAACACATTCAGCCGAAAGTAAGCTAAAATAACTACAAATTGATACCTGTTAGTATAAGAGGACAAACTAATGCTTATTCAGGTCTGTCGCAAGTTGTCGTTTCTATTAATGAATGGAGACCGTTTTAACAGGCTAGGCTAGTATTGTTGCCAATCAAGATCAAATCAGATCACAGCTAAATGTCTTCATTTGGTTTCTTGACGTATCTCTTACCAGCAGAGCGTTCTCGTCTCTGTAGCTAGCTGCTACTTCCTGGTTGCTCATGGCTCTGGCCAGCAGTCCGGTGGAGAACACGTTGAGAGGCCGCTCCGCCTCTCTGGACCAGGAGAACAGCTTCTCCACCAGACCCTCCTGAGAGGGACAGCAGATAGAGGTTAGTACTTGCTGGGAAAATCCTGAATGTCCTCTTCCAACATGAGAGTAACATGATAACACAGGTATCCCAACTGTAGCTGTGAACATGACAGGATGTGTGATTACCTAGAAGAGCATCAGGACTGTTTGAGGCATATGATAGCTATGTGATTAACATGAGGATTCAGCCTCTATGGAGACAGACATCAAGCATGCTCATTTCTGACGTGGAGCTAATCTGAAGTAAACATTGAATACTGCTTTCTACTCCTCCATCTTATGACTGTGTAACTCCCTCTCTTGATATCAGCATGTGAAGGACACTGTTCAGGAACTAGTTGATGCTCTGTATGTGATGACTCCTTCCATTCTGGAGAGGATCACAGACACATGGATCCTGAGGTTGAAGCTCAAGCCGGGGACCAGGGAGACTTTTCTAACAGTGTGTGTAAATGAAAAAGCTTGTTACCTTCTCCTGGAAGACAGCAGCGGTCTCCAGGCCCGGCATGATGTTCTGCAGCAGTCTGCAGGAGGCCGTGTTCAGATCCAGCTCTCTGCTCGTCATGATGTAGTTATCCAGCAGCTGAGGGACATTAAAGACCTTTAAATACCTTTTTTACAAACACAAATACTGTCAACAAAGACACCGTCACGTTTCTATGGAGGAGGATTAGGAGCACGTGAGAAAGAAGTGTTGGGATGCGACCAAAAGTTTACAAAACTATTTATATAAATAAGCAGATTGTAAGATGACAAACAGATGAATGTTCTGGATGTTCTTCACAGAGCTCAGGTGTTTAACAGTCTGATGGCCTGTGGGTGAAACTGTCTCTGAGTCTGGTGCTTTTTGTCCTGGATCTACTTCTGAGTGCACGGTATATAAAAAACAGATTTGCTTTGCAGTCTTACCGCGTTAGTGAAGTCATCGTTATTGAAGAGCATCTTGAGGAGTTGTCCCAGCATGCACTCTGGGTCTGCCCGTCCTGAACACATTAACATCAGCTTTTATATTCACAGAAAGAAAAGCCAGTCTGGTGCTCTTGGAACAAAGACAGCATGTAGTGAGAGGGATAAGAACCTGGATGTCGGTCATCGAACGGGTCGGGGTCTGCTTTGTGATATTCTGCTGTCTCCCCTTCAATCAGCTCAGAGATCCTGAGGAACAGAGGCAGCACTTTTCAACACAAGGCAATTCAAAGCGCTTTACAAACATGAAAGACATTAAGGAAAAAGGCCTTTAAAAACCGTCATTAAAAAGCAAAGATAATCAAATAAACATTAAAAGAAAAAGTACATGGATAAAAGTTACAGTGCAGTTTAAGATGTGAAGAGTTCAATTAAAAGCAGCGGCAAAAAGAAAAGTCTTCTTGCTGGATTTAAAAGTAGTCAGAGTTTCTGGGAGTTTGGAGCATAATAACTGAACTCCTCCAGGAAGCAGACCGGTCCCAGAAGGAGACGACGTCAAGCTTTGTCTCTCTGTCTGCATCACATCTTATAGAACAGATTAACTGGGCGGTCAACTCACTGAAATATGGAATCGCCAATTAATTTACTTATTATCTGTCGTAAAAGGTATATTCGTCAAACTTTCATTAACATGGAAGCGGACAAATATGCTCGCTCGTTTGGTCGAAACCAAATGGAAATAATAGGACCACTTCACCACAAACTTTCCATTCTTCACAAGTGACTTTCAAATGTTCTTCACAATCATCATCATCAACGACGATTACGTAGGAGAAAGAAGGACCGCGGGCTCCCCTCCAGCTTCCTCTGTACCTCTTGGGAAGACCACATTCCCAGTAGGTAGCTGGTCTCTTCAGTGGACCACTGCGTTTCACTTTGGGGTCTTCCATCGTTGTGTACAAAGTGGATAAAACGTGGGCTTCTTGTTGTTGTTCAGGAGGTTGATCCCACACCCCGGCCCAGCCCCGCCCCCGACGTAAGCGTAACGTATGCGGTTCTTGATTCTCTTCTTGAAAAACCGGTGCTTATCAGACTCTAGCTCCGAACCGGCCCTGGACCCGCGTTGGTGTGAAAGGGGCATTAGAGGTCTCACCTGGTGAGGATGGACACCAGCGTCTCCGTGGTCCCTCTCTGAGACTCCTCCCACTCGTTCAGCAGAGACGTGAGGTCGGCTTTAGCGTCTACAGAGATCGCTGATGACATCACAGGAGGAGGAGCAGGAGCAGGAGGAGGGGGAGGACGAGGAGGAGGGTGAGGAGGAGGAGGAGGGGGAGGGGCTTCACCTCGGAAGCCCATCGCTTCCTGGAGGAGGAGGAGGAGGAGGAAGAAGAGGAAACAATCAATGAGGTTGCAAAGGAACTTAGATCTGAGGTTAAAGTTCAAAAGATAGATAGAAAATAGTTTTCAATAAATGTATGAATAGCTTTGAGTTGTGTCCATGTGAGAATAGCTCAGAGCTCCTGATTCCAGCTTCTTAACATGTCTGTCATTCAGTTCCAGTTTGTTGTGTCAGTGTTTTCCAAAGCCTAACATTACCTTCACAAATATTTAAAGAAATATACATATTAACAACAAGGTGGAATCAGGGAATAACTCAATGAAGCTTTGACCTGATAAACCAGTCCCACCTGGTAGACCCTGACTCTTTAAAATGACCCTCATGAGGACCCTTCCTTTACTCACCCGAAGCTCTGCCAGTGTTACGGGTTGAGGCCTCATATCTCAGACTCTCAGAGACCATCAAAGGGGGGGAGAGATGGTATTTGACCCACAACAGGTGTCCTCTGCTGGGGGACAGCTGCTCAGACACACCCTCCACTAACCAGAGGAGGCGGGAAAGTACTCAGACTTAAGTACAAGTACAAGAGTGGAGTAAAAGTTCATGTTACTCAAGTTAAAGTACAAAACGTTAGCATCAAAATGTAGTTAAAGTACAGGTCTTGTACTTGAGTAAAAGTAGAAGTACTCAGACTTAAGTACACGTACAAGAGTGAAGTAAAAGTAAATGTTACTCAAGTAAAAGTACAAAAAGTTAGCATCAAAATGTAGTTAAAGTAACTGAAGTAGAAACACTCAGATCTTGAGTAAAAGTAGAAGTACTCAGATCTTGTACTTGAGTAAAAGTAGAAGTACTCAGGTCTTGTACTTGAGTAAAAGTAGAAGTACTCAGATCTTTTACTTGAGTAAAAGTAGAAGTACTCAGATCATGTACTTGAGTAAAAGTAGAAGTACCAGAGTGTAGGAATACTCTGTTACAGTAAAAGTCCTGCATTCAAAATGTTCCTCAAGTGAAAGTATAAAGTATTATCATCTAAATATAGTGAAAGACAGTAAAAGTAGTCGTTGTGCAGATTGGTCCATTTCAGAATAATATATATATATGTTTTATAATGATTGATCATGAAAGTGTTCTCAAAGCTGGTGAAGGTGCAGCTAGTTTGAAGGACTTTGTATACTGCAGGGTAGCTGGTGGATTTACTCCAGGTGGAACTAAAGTCTGATTCAACACTTGATTATATTTCACATCATTCATCCAGATCTGTGAAGTAACTAAAGGGATTAAATACATGTAGTGGAGTAGAAGTACCTCAGAAGTGTACTTGAGTACTTGTTGTGAAGTTGTCTCCTTGTTGCTCACGCGCTAACTCTATGACAGGTATCAGACTCACTTGAGTGTCCACAGCTTCCTGACCTCACGTGCACATTATATCTGACCCTCTCCCCGTGTGTGTGTGCGTGTGTGTTTTATTTCGAGTCATGTGTTTAGTTGTCTCTACGCTGTACATATAAAACACTTCTTCACTAAAGAACGGGATTATTTGTGGGTGTCCTTTTTAACTATATGTGTCTTCTGACTGTGAGTGTTTGTGTGTGTGTGTTCATGTGTTCAGATGACAGCATGCCTCATGTCAGCTAGCAGCACGTGACTCACCTGAATCGACCTTTCTCTCCTCCTCTCAACGGGTGAGATTCTCCAGGTGTTTGTCGGGAAGTCTCGAGGGAAACCACGCGGACATCTGACGTTTAGTAAAATAAAAAAGTACGGTCACGTTTATTTTCAAAACTTCTCCTCGGCGGGCGGCTTCGTGTTACGTCACAGAACGGAGTCGCAAGTGATGACGTATGCGGGAGAACTCGCTCATGGGAGTTGTAGTTCGATATTTCCACATCGTGTCGTTTATGGAATGAATGATTGCGCGTTGAATAGTGAAACCCTTTTAATACAAATGGTTAGATAATTGTTGTATTTCTTTGAAGGCAACCTTATCTACCGCAAGGCATCATATTATTACAAAAGCTATTTGTTTGTGTACATTTTTCATGTATTCTTTCAAAGAAATTAACTTACATTTAAACATTTTCAGAAAATCCAGACGTTTTTCAGGCATTGTTTCCCTTTTATATTTTTAGAATTTTTAAGGCCTTTTAATATTTTCTTGATTTTTTTCCTACATTTTGGGGTTATTTTCCATACATTTATTAATTACTTTAGTGGATATTTCTCTTTGTTTGAGGCGTTGATATGTATGCTAGTGTACCCTACAGCAGTGCATCATATTATAAAAACAAACCGAACATTTCTCACATATTTTTTACTTACATTTAAAAAGAAATCACATATTTTCCAGAAAAAGACAGTTTCCAGATATTATTCACCTCTTATAATTCACACATTAGTTACTGCTGTTTAAGGCGTTATATATTGCAACTCCTTTACTTAATGTTAGCTAATGTAATTTACAACAATGCATTCATTTATCAATTCATTTTTGTCAATATTTAACGTATTACTTGGACGAAAAATTGACAAAAAAAAAAAAAATGCACATATTTTTGTGAATTTTTTTCTGACATTTCTCTGGTAATTTTCCAGACATTAATTTCATATTTCCTTGTTTTTTTTGGTGCACTTTACTGCTTTAAGGCTTTGCTCGTTGTAAGTCTCTTTATAGTGTAATATTGGCTTGTCTAATCTGCAGCAATGCACCACGTATCTCTTAAAAGTCATGAGTTTCTCAGTAAAAACAGCCCCAGCTTTGGGGTGATGCATTCTCCAGGCTTATTTATTTAGCTTCGGAAGGAGGAGAAATAATCAAAAACATAAATACCTACACACACCTAAAAATAAAGGAATTACACTTAACACAAATCCCAACAAGTGCAAACAGTTTATTGAATCTCTTGGACAAAAAACGCATCCTGCCGTCACACAAATAGTCAGTTTTATTGTTTGTTATCACGTTGAATGTTTTGGCATGCACCCGTTTGTCAGATGCTTTCTGAAAACAGAGGAGCAACAACACTGTGTTTATGTGCAGGGTTTACATCTGAAAGAGTTCAGCAGTCATATCAAAGGAAAATAAAGCTGTCCAACAGGGTTTCACACGTCCCGCTTAAAAAGCTGTCCCTTCGGAAAGTCTGGGAAACGTGAAGGTAAATGTCAGGAGCATGAAAAGAATAAAATCATCCGTAGAAACAGACTATGGCTCTGAAACAAGCTCACATATTTAGAAAAAAGACAAATATCTTCTCATTTAAGACGCTCTAATGTTCATTTAGCTGTTTAAACTCTAAGACGTGAATATGTTGAGGATTTTAGACGGTTGGTTGGAAAACAAGACATTTGATGAGTTCCCTCTGGACTTTAACTGTTTGCTGGTGTTTTATAGTCAAAAAGAATATTCAAGGACAACTGTGTGTGTCTGAGAGAGATCTGCTGTTTTAACTCGATCTGACATAAGACATTTGTAATGATTGTTGGAAAAACGAGAGATTTGGTGACTTCCTTGTGGACTTTCAAGTCAAAATGATTATTAAAAAAGGTAAAAAAGTAACAGTTATCTGCAGCCATAACACACATCAAAACAATCAAAGCTGATCTTTGTTCTGCTCCCGTTCCAGGTGTGTGTGTGTCTGTGTGCGTGCGTGCATGTGTGTGTGTTCTGCTCTTTTAACTCAATCTGACATTATAAGACATGAATATTTTAAGGATTTTAGACTTGGTTAGAAAAACAAGAGAATTGATGACTTCCCTCTGGACTTTAAACGGTTTTCAGTGTGTGTGTGTGTGTGTGTGTGTGTGTGTGTGTGTGTCTGTGTCTATGTGTGAGTCTGTTAATGTGTGTGTGTGTGTCAGTGTGTTTTCAGTTTGTCTTGGAGCAGTGTGAGCACCAGTCCGTACAGGAAGCCCCCGGTGAGGATGATGATGGAGCTGGAGACGGGGCTGAAGGACAGAATGGCTCCCAGGCCGTAGATCAGCAGGAGAACCATCAGGGTCCTGAAGCTGGCGAGCCGACGCAGGCTCAGCCTCGGACGCTTCGGACGCTCTGACCATCGCCGCGACAACGGGCTCTGATTCAGCCTGGGGGCGGAGTCACCGTCAGACAGGAAGTGACGACACAGGCGACCCGGGAAGTCCGGACGGGAGCAAACAGCGTCCATGTGAGCTCCGAACTGTGGGAGGAAAAACAACGAAAGTCAACGAGGCTTCATTTAAGTTTTTTTTTGTACTTATTCTTTATTAGTTACTTTCTCACATCCCCCTTTACATCCAATAGTACTCCAATTTAGAGGAACAGTTCCTTTCACAAGGGGTCACAACATGTAGAGGGTCTCAGATCCTAAAACATTAACATGACAATATGAAAAACTAAATGTATAGAAATCAAATCAATAATAACACTGAGAACGTAAATAACACACAAATAAAATGTATAAGGTCATCCAACATATTGCAATAATAAAGTCTAATATACTTAGGAGAATATCCATATACCAGAACATTTCAAAAATAAAAATTGAGGCGTCATCTCTAACAAATGTTGAAAACAGTTTCTTATATTTTGGAGAAACCTCTTGTTTGTTTCTCACAGTCTTTAAAGTTGCAGTTGAACATGCGCCTGCTCACCCTGTGGTTGATGAGACTGGAGACCCTGTAGAGGAGGCGGACCAACAGGGCGCTCTCGTAGCTCCTGATTGGCTGCAGCTCCGGGTCGCCCTGGTACTGGATGTCAAACCTGCGTTGGCCACTGATGATCTACACACACACACACACACACACACACACACACACACACACACACACACACACACACACACACACACACACACACACACACACACACACACACACACACACACACACACACACACACACACCACACACACACACACAACACACACACACACACACACACACACACACACCACACACACACACACACACACCACACACACACACACACACACACACACACACACACACACACACACACACACACACACACACACACACACACACACACACACGTCTTTATTGCTGCTACTCATTTTAGGCCATGGTTGTTATATTGTCTTCATTTTAAATGTCGCGCTTCCTTCCTTTGTTTTTATCAAGCCACTAGACACCTAAAGGCTGTTACACACCAAGCCGATTTTCGCCATCGATAGATGTCTGGCCGTCGATGAGCGCCGTGTCGCCCTACTCAGATTGGTGTGTACCGCACCGTCGGGTCTTTTCGGCCGACACCTCCCGCCGCCGATTCGACTTGTTGAATCAGGAGGCTATTGGCTAAAGGTCGTCGGCCAAAGAAATCACTCTGATTGGCTGTTCAGCTTAGCGAATCAGTGCATGAGAATTGAAACGGAAGTGAGAGACGTAAACAAACGATTAAGAAGGCAAATCTGAGATTTAATTGAACTCCAGCTCTCGACTCAGGTTCGGGAAAGCCCCGTGAGCTTCTCGCTGTAGAGGGAAAATAGAACGCACACGCTACTTGTTGTTTGTTTATATCACGCAGTCTGTTCTTCTTCTCTGGGTGTATCACGCAGTCTGTTCTTCTTCTCTCTGTGTATCACGCAGTCTGTTCTTCTTCTCTGGGTGTATCACGCAGTCTGTTCTTCTTCTCTCGGTGTATCACGCAGTCTGTTCTTCTTCTCTCTGTGTATCACGCAGTCTGTTCTTCTTCTCTCTGTGTATCACGCAGTCTGTTCTTCTTCTCTGGGTGTATCACGCAGTCTGTTCTTCTTCTCTCGGTGTATCACGCAGTCTGTTCTTCTTCTCTCTGTGTATCACGCAGTCTGTTCTTCTTCTCTGGGTGTATCACGCAGTCTGTTCTTCTTCTCTCGGTGTATCACGCAGTCTGTTCTTCTTCTCTCGGTGTATCACGCAGTCTGTTCTTCTTCTCTCGGTGTATCACGCAGTCTGTTCTTCTTCTCTCGGTGTATCACGCAGTCTGTTCTTCTTCTCTCTGTGTATCACGCAGTCTGTTCTTCTTCTCTCGGTGTATCACGCAGTCTGTTCTTCTTCTCTCGGTGTATCACGCAGTCTGTTCTTCTTCTCTCGGTGTATCACGCAGTCTGTTCTTCCGGTTGTTGCCTCTTTTGAATGACGAATACACACTACCGTCTCTCAGCTGTCTCTCTCTCACCTGTCCGTCTCTCACCTGTCCGTCTCTCACCTGTCCGTCTCTCACCTGTCTGTCTCTCACATGTCTGTCTCTCACCTGTCTCTCTCTCACCTGTCCGTCTCTCACCTGTCTGTCTCTCACCTGTCTCTCTCTCACCTGTCCGTCTCTCACCTGTCCGTCTCTCACCTGTCCGTCTCTCACCTGTCTCTCTCTCACCTGTCTGTCTCTCACCTGTCCGTCTCTCACCTAATAATTCCTTACATTTTTATCACCTGTCCGTCTCTCACCTGTCTCTCTCTCACCTGTCCGTCTCTCACCTGTCCGTCTCTCACCTGTCCGTCTCTCACCTGTCTCTCTCTCACCTGTCCGTCTCTCACCTGTCCGTCTCTCACCTGTCCGTCTCTCACCTGTCTGTCTCTCACATGTCTGTCTCTCACCTGTCTCTCTCTCACCTGTCCGTCTCTCACCTGTCCGTCTCTCACCTGTCTGTCTCTCACCTGTCTCTCTCTCACCTGTCCGTCTCTCACCTGTCCGTCTCTCACCTGTCCGTCTCTCACCTGTCTCTCTCTCACCTGTCCGTCTCTCACCTGTCCGTCTCTCACCTGTCCGTCTCTCACCTGTCTCTCTCTCACCTGTCCGTCTCTCACCTGTCCGTCTCTCACCTGTCCGTCTCTCACCTGTCCGTCTCTCACCTGTCCCTCTCACCTGTCCGTCTCTCACCTGTCCGTCTCACCTGTCCGTCTCTCACCTGTCCGTCTCTCCACCTGTCCGTCTCTCACCTGTCCGTCTCTCTCACCTGTCCGTCTCTCACCTGTCCGTCTCTCACCTGTCCGTCTCTCACCTGTCTCTCTCTCACCTGTCCGTCTCTCACCTGTCCGTCTCTCACCTGTCCGTCTCTCACCTGTCTCTCTCTCACCTGTCTCTCTCTCACCTGTCCGTCTCTCACCTGTCCGTCTCTCACCTGTCTCTCTCTCACCTGTCCGTCTCTCACCTGTCCGTCTCTCACCTGTCCGTCTCTCACCTGTCCGTCTCTCACCTGTCCGTCTCTCACCTGTCCGTCTCTCACCTGTCTCACTCACTCACTCAACTCACTCTTTATCATGGCTTGCCGTTTTTTACCTGCTGTGCCACTTTATAGCTGTAACACTGTTAACGTCCCCGCTGCAGGACTAATAAAGGCCTAACTGGCACATCCCCCCTGATCACATCACACATCCTCTGCTTTTCTGTTTCTATTGATTGATTATGATGTCGTGTTTTTCGACTTTTGCTTTGTGTACCTTGTACGGCGAGCTTTGAAAGGCGCCTTTATAAATAAAATGTATTATTATGAATACCTGTTTGCGGCCCAGGTCGGTCAGAAGGAGTCCGTTCTCTCCCTGGATGCAGTCCGGCAGCTGTTTGCAGTTCCCTTCGTCCTGACAGGAGCCCAGAGTGGAGATGAGCTGAGTCAGCTGACCCTGGTTCAGCTACAAGAGAAGAACAAAACAAACAGTTAACCAGCAGTCAACGGCAACAACACCAGGGCCCTTTCTCATTTCATCAAATCCGCCTCATCGACTCCTCGGTCCTCCGGTAGTGACCCGGAAATGAATTTCAGCGCGCCATTTTGAAGGACATCTAATTTCTCTAAATGCACATCGAGGACCGAGGATCGAGCGTCGAGGAGGCTCTCTGGAGGAGCTATAACCGAGGAGACACTGATGGGTCCTCCACGGCGGACAGACAGGTCTCAGTTGGTTTGGTGTCCTCTGCTTACTTTTAATACTTGTAAATACAACTTTTGGCCCGTAATTTATTTTCCTCATTGTAGCGACCAGAGAGAGGGGGGGGGGGGGGGGGGGGGGGGGTATATCCAGTCTCTGATTGTGTTATGTTATTATGAGAGTGCTCTGTTTGATTCTGAAATTGTATATATTTATATAAATATATATATGTGTGTGTGTGTGTGTGTGTGTGTGTGTCCGCATCTGTAGCCTGTTATTGTCTCATTACACCGCACTGTGAATGAATTAAAAGTAAATATATAAGTCATCATGAACACATCTGTCCCTCAGACAGAGGGCTGCTGTGCCTCCTGTCATCATTAATGGACGTCTCTTTAAAATGACCGCTCAGAGGAGAGGAGTTTTCATTTCTCTAACCGCCTGCTGCTTCCCTTCCTCTCTCCTCGGTTCCCCTCCTCAGCTCCTCCGCTCGCATCTCCTGTGGGCGGGACTAAGTCTCGAGGAGGGGAGTCGAGGAGGGGAGTTAGAGAAATGAGAAAGGGACCATGAATCCAGGTCATCAAGTAATGTCATAAACTAGATCTGGGTTCACCTTTACCAGTCGATTATCTACTACAGTGGTTCTCAAAGTGAAAAATAAATTCAAAGTGTTTCTCAAATTGTTTAAAAATGACTAGTATAGGAGCAACAGAGACACATATGAAGGAAATGCTTGTAGTTGTATTTGTATCGTTGATTTAATGTCTGAATGATATAGAGAAGTGAAGCTGTCATTAGTAGGCTGTCGTTTGTTATAAACTGTTGGAGTGGTGAGCAGGCCTTTTGTTTCTGGATATTTGGGGAGTTGAGGAGTGTTTTTATTGGTTAAGTGGTCCTGGGTATGAAAACGTTTGAGAAACACTGGTCTACTACAAAATATAACTCCACTGATCAATGTCTGACCTTGAAGATTTGACACAGGTGCTCCAGCGCTCGGTCCAGGAACTCGTGGGTTTTCTTCAAACACTCGCCGCTCTCCTCGGGCTCGGCGCCGGAGAACGTGTTGTTCAGGTCCGAGGATCCCATCCCGAACCACGAGAGGAAGGAGTTGCTGGCCGCCACCTCGTTGGAGTGATCAGAAATCCTCTTGGCCGTCTGTCGGGCCTGGGCGATGATTTGGATCAACTTCATGACCTGCAAGATGGACGAAAAGGATTTAGACGCTCAAGTAGGGCTAAACATATAGTCATATTTCTTTGTTGGACCCTGAAGGCAGCATCTCCCTGGTCCAATGGGATTTCTCCATGTGAATTTGGATTATTGTCAAACAAACGTTTATGTTTACATGTTATTAATCATCCACATATTAACACCAGTTCATGATTTGTGAAGTAGAAAGCTAATGTTGGGCTATAAAGGAACTACAGCACGGTCACATGACTTCACGCCAACACCGCTAAGCTAAAGGAGGCTAATGTTGGGCTATAAAGGAACTACAGCACGGTCACATGACTTCACGTCACCACCGCTAAGCTAAAGGCGGCTAATGTTGGACTATAAAGTTACTACAGCACGGTCACATGACTTCACGTCACCACCGCTAAGCTAAAGGCGGCTAATGTTGGGCTATAAAGGAACTACAGCACGGTCACATGACTTCACGTCACCACCGCTAAGCTAAAGGTGGCTAATGTTGGGCTATAAAGGAACTACGGCACGGTCACATGACTTCACGTCACCACCGCTAAGCTAAAGGTGGCTAATGTTGGGCTATAAAGGAACTACGGCACGGTCACATGACTTCACGTCACCACCGCTAAGCTAAAGGCGGCTAATGTTGGGCTATAAAGGATCTACGGCACGGTCACATGACTTCACGTCACCACCGCTAAGCTAAAGGCGGCTAATGTTGGGCTATAAAGGAACTACGGCACGGTCACATGACTTCACGTCACCACCGCTAAGCTAAAGGCGGCTAATATTGGGCTATAAAGGAACTACGGCACGGTCACATGACTTCACGTCACCACCGCTAAGCTAAAGGTGGCTAATGTTGGGCTATAATGGAACTACGGCACGGTCACATGACTTCACGTCACCACCGCTAAGCTAAAGGTGGCTAATGTTGGGCTATAAAGGAACTACGGCACGGTCACATGACTTCACGTCACCACCGCCAAGCTAAAGGTGGCTAATGTTGGGCTATAAAGGAACTACGGCACGGTCGGTCACATGACTTCACGTCACCACCGCTATGCTAAAGGCGGCTAATATTGGGCTATAAAGGAACTACAGCACGGTCACATGACTTCACGTCACCACCGCTAAGCTAAAGGTGGCTAATGTTGGGCTATAAAGGAACTACAGCACGGTCACATGACTACACGTCACCACCGCTAAGCTAAAGGTGGCTAATGTTGGGCTATAAAGGAACTACAGCACGGTCACATGACTACACGTCACCACCGCTAAGCTAAAGGTGGCTAATGTTGGGCTATAAAGGAACTACAGCACGGTCACATGACTTCACGTCACCACCGCTAAGCTAAAGGCGGCTAATGTTGGGCTATAGAGGAACTACAGCACGGTCTGAACTGAACGTACCGCTCCTCTGAGTTCGTTTCCGAACATCTGCTTGTACTGGCAGTCTTGTCCCTCCAGAGCGTAGACGTGACTCTTCACCCTGAACACCATGTCTGTCACCACGCGTTGCCGTGACGAAAGGAAGCTGCCTCCCTGATTGGGCGTCAGGTATCCTCTCGGCTGCCGGTGATGAAGGACGTGCTCCGGCTCCAGGAACAGCTGCTCTCCTGGGGACACACGGTGGGGTTGTTTAGAGCATTTATTAAACAAATATAACACCAAACTAAACACAAATAAACTCGTTTAGAGTATAAACTGCTATCTGTGACATCGCGTCTTTATTAGCTGTTAAACACCTGAACTAGAACATCCATAACATTCATCTGCTTGCAACTTACAAATTATTTATCTAATATATCATATTCCAATTACTTGTATACTCTGATTGCACTATTTCTATTCTATTTTATTTACACTATTTAATCGGTGTTATTGTGTTGCACTGTTGGAGGAGCCTGTGACCTCAGATGTTCATCAACAGATCTACATTGTAGCTATGTACGAATGACAATAAAAGCCTTGAATCTTATCTCCCGTTGGAGTTTCTGCGCTCACCTTTCTGGATCATGTCGGCGAGGTTTGGCTGAGCGAACACTTTGGAGACTCTGAAAACCATCAGAGCGTTTTTGGCGTTGACCAGGTCGGTCCTGACGGTTCGGTTCAGCAGAACCTGGAAGAGCTTGGTGTACATGAGGAGGTTCTCCTGCACAAAGAACTCCCTTCAACGAGAACATCAGCACCGTCAATACAACACGACAAATATCCTGCAGCACACTTCATCCTGTTAGGCAAAATCCACTTCTTCATGTCTCTTCTACATCAACATGTGTCCCCTCTTCTTCATGTCTCTTCTACATCAACATGTGTCCCCTCTTCTTCATGTCTCTTCTACATCAACATGTATCCCCTCTTCTTCATGTCTCTTCTACATCAACATGTGTCCCCTTTTCTTCACGTCTCTTCTACATCAACATGTGTCCCCTCTTCTTCACGTCTCTTCTACATCAACATGTGTCCCCTCTTCTTCACGTCTCTCTTCTACATCAACATGTGTCCCCTCTTCTTCACGTCTCTTCTACATCAACATGTGTCCCCTCTTCTTCACGTCTCTTCTACATCAACATGTGTCCCCTCTTCTTCACGTCTCTTCTACATCAACATGTGTCCCCTCTTTCTTCATATCTCTTCTACATCAACATGTGTCCCCTCTTCTTCATGTCTCTTCTACATCAACATGTGTCCCCTCTTCTCCATGTCTCTTCTACATCAACATGTGTCCCCTCTTCTTCATGTCTCCTCTACATCAACATGTGTCCCCTCTTCTTCATGTCTCTTCTACATCAACATGTGTCCCCTATTCTTCATGTCTCTTCTACATCAACATGTGTCCCCTCTTCTTCATGTCTCTTCTACATCAACATGTGTCCCCTCTTCTTCATGTCTCCTCTACATCAACATGTGTCCCCTCTTCTTCATGTCTCTTCTACATCAACATGTGTCCCCTCTTCTTCATGTCTCTTCTACATCAACATGTGTCCCCTCTTCTTCATGTCTCTCTTCATCAACATGTGTCCTCTCTTCTTCATGTTTCTTCTACATCAACATGTGTCCCCTCTTCTTCATGTCTCTTCTACATCAACATGTGTCCCCTCTTCTTCATGTCTCTTCTACATCAACATGTGTCCCCTCTTCTTCATGTCTCTTCTCCATGTCTCTTCTACATCAACATGTGTCCCCTCTTCTTCATGTCTCTTCTACATCAACATGTGTCCCCTCTTCTTCATGTCTCTTCTACATCAACATGTGTCCCCTCTTCTTCATGTCTCTTCTACATCAACATGTGTCCCCTCTTCTTCATGTCTCTTTCTACATCAACATGTGTCCCCTCTTCTTCATGTCTCTTCTTCATCAACATGTGTCCCCTCTTCTTCATGTCTCTTCTACATCAACATGTGTCCCCTCTTCTTCATGTCTCTTCTACATCAACATGTGTCCCCTCTTCTTCATGTCTCTTCTACATCAACATGTGTCCCCTCTTCTTCATGTCTCTTCTACATCAACATGTGTCCCCTCTTCTTCATGTCTCTTCTACATCAACATGTGTCCCCTCTTCTCCATGTCTCTTCTACATCAACATGTGTCCCCTCTTCTTCATGTCTCTTCTTCATCAACATGTGTCCCCTCTTCTCCATGTCTCTTCTACATCAACATGTGTCCCCTCTTCTTCATGTCTCTTCTACATCAACACGTGTCCCCTCTTCTCCATGTCTCTTCTTCATCAACATGTGTCCCCTCTTCTTCATGTCTCTTCTACATCAACATGTGTCCCCTCTTCTTCATGTCTCTTCTACATCAACATGTGTCCCCTCTTCTTCATGTCTCCTCTACATCAACATGTGTCCCTTCTTCTTCATGTCTCTTCTACATCAACATGTGTCCCCTCTTCTTCATGTCTCTTGTACATCAACATGTGTCCCCTCTTCTCCATGTCTCTTCTACATCAACATGTGTCCCCTCTTCTTCATGTCTCTTCTACATCAACATGTGTCCCCTCTTCTTCATGTCTCTTCTTCATCAACATGTGTCCCCTCTTCTCCAAGTCTCTTCTACATCAACATGTGTCCCCTCTTCTTCATGTCTCTTCTACATCAACATGTGTCCCCTCTTCTCCATGTCTCTTCTACATCAACATGTGTCCCCTCTCTTCATGTCTCTTCTACATCAACATGTGTCCCCTCTTCTTCATGTCTCTTCTACATCAAACATGTGTCCCCTCTTCTTCATGTCTCTTCTACATCAACATGTGTCCCCTCTTCTTCATGTCTCTTCTTCATCAACATGTGTCCCCTCTTCTCCATGTCTCTTCTACATCAACATGTGTCCCCTCTTCTTCATGTCTCTTCTACATCAACAGGTGTCCCCTCTTCTTCATGTCTCTTCTACATCAACATGTGTCCCCTCTTCTTCATGTCTCTTCTACATCAACATGTGTCCCCTCTTCTTCATGTCTCTTCTACATCAACATGTGTCCCCTCTTCTTCATGTCTCTTCTACATCAACATGTGTCCCCTCTTCTTCATGTCTCTTCTAAATAAAAACCTGTCTGAAAATGAACTGATCAGATTTTGGCCACTTGATGATGTCATAACGATGTTTTGTCTTGTGTAACCATTAGCCAATCACCAACCAAGGTAACCCCCCCCCCCCTTATCACCTGAATCTCCTCTAGAGCTCCATTGAGTTCTTTGTAACCAAATGTCTCTCAGAGGGGCGTGGGGAGGGGCTCCTTATTTTCATCTAAAGTAACAGACAGAGAATCAGCACTTTGGAAACAGGGCTGAAACAGAGGGGATTATGGGTAATGCTGCCATGATCTGTTTGGTGTTTCAGCCAATCAGAGACAGGCTCTGGATATATCTGAGACCTGTGATATATTGATGAGAAATAGTATAATAGGGACCTTTAAGCATATTTATTGCACTACAAAAATGTATTGCATTTTGCCCTGAGGTGATAAGATGGCTCTCTAAAATCCTTCATGCTCTCACACAGCTGATAACTAACTCATTTTTAAGTCTTTTTAGGGAAAGAATAAGGACCTCTTTATGTCTTTAGAAGCCCCTCAGACTCACCATTTCTCTGGGACCGTTCTGTTCTGGTCGGCCTGAGGGTTGATCTTCTCTCCGGTGTATCTCCATGGCTGGATGTAGCTGAGCCACGTCTCCAACACCTGAACACACACACAAATAAATTATTCTTAAAAGTCAGAAGGAAGTTAAATATTGTAAATCTGAGTATGAACATGTTCTGTGCGAGACGTACTGCTCTGAAGGAGGCGTCCAGAGGCCAGTGGCCGAAGCAGTGCTGCAGGAACAGGTAGAGCTTCTGCTGCACGAAGCGCTGCACCACCACTCTGAGGAGGAACATCCAGGGCTCGTTAACAACATGAATATCAGAATATATACACACACATTCTCTAAGGTTCCTACAGCATTCAAAGAGTACCATTCAACCACGTTCAAGATACGTATAACTAACATGTCCAGACTTGCAAAGCCTCAATCATCACATCTGTATTGTTGTGAAAAATAAAGCTTGATGAATAAATGTGATGCTTTGAACATTTTGTAATGCCGAGTTGCTGGAGACCACTAACAGATACATATGTTAATTGTACATATTACTTATGTGATAGGGAAACATCAGATTATGTTTTCTAGCTATAAAAGGATTATACTGGAATTCAAGCATGAAAACATAACTTAAAAGTATGTGTTGTGCTAATGTTGAGTGGCAATAATCACCACAGTATGCATCTTTTAAACTTTGAAGACATCGAACAAACCCATTTTATATGGCCCGGCAAAACAAGTCAACATGCAAAATTAAAAACAGGACTACGAATATATCGAGAGCAGCGCTGTCCGGAGTGTTAGGGAAATAATTGTCCTAGACTCCTAGATATGACGTGCATGACCAACCCTGACGTCTGTTATCTCCTTTAAGGAGATAGGCTGCTTCAGCCATGATGTTGTTGTTCCCATTCTGTGACCGGGCAACCCTAGGTCACAGATGGTTTATTGTTGTGGGTACACTGGGACACTTCCTTCTCGGTGTTTGTGGACTCCAAGGTGTGAAATCTTCGAGGCCATAAGTGTCAGACGCAAGTAACTCAGTGTTCCCAACTGTTTAGGCTATCTTCTCAAACATGTTGATGACTCTCTGCGAAACCAGTTAAATGGGCTAACGAGAGAGAGGCGCTCCAGAATTGACGTGGCAACTCTCCCGTGAAGTCAGAACCTCTGGCTCTTGGACTTGTGATGTGAATCCTCCGGCCGAAGCTCCAAATAAACCATCAGTGTTTGACATCAAAGCTCCTGCTCTTCCCGTGTCTCCTTCGTGAGTCGGTGACTCCCACTGCATTGCTACACAGAAGTTTCCCCCACACGGAGAATTGGTGTTTGTCATCACCATGTGTTCGGGAAGTTTTAATTGTTCCGGAAAGGTAAACATTATTTTTCCCAAAGCGTGCAGCCTTGCTTAGGGGGAATTATTCTGTCCGCACGTTATGACTGAAGAGTACAGTTTTCAGACCAGTCAAAGTCTGGCTAACGGAAACAATGATCAAGAGGTCTTTAAATCCAATTTGAGAAATCATGGGCGTCACTTTCTTAGATAAAGTGGTGGGGACCCTTACTTCAGATTTTAAAAAACACTACTGCATTAAGAGCCCCTCGCAAACAACACATACAGTATATACACTTACTATACATTTAAACTAGTGCAGTAACTATGCTACGCTGCTGCAAAGCTATTCTCTATTCAGTTATTACTAATATTAAACGTGCCGCTTGGGTTACGAGAAACACACCCAGAAACCGTGACCAGTCCTCTCTTGTGCAAGTAAAGCTTTCTCACAGTGTACAATTCTTTGTGCACGCTATTTCAGAACATGTTTAACAAATTATCCTAATGCAAAGTTGGCCATTTCGCAAAGAGGTGGAGACATGGATAAATGACGCCTATGAGAGAAATACAGCTTTGCAGTCTGACAGATATTAGTATTTCTGACAGATATCAGTATTTGTTATTGTTCTGACCTCTTGAACTCCTCCAGGGGGCTGGCGTGAGTGTGTGTGTGTGAGTGTGTCGGGGGGGAAGAGGTCAGCTGATCCGGCTTCAGGCTGTTTGAGAAGGCGTGGAGGTTTTTCACAAGGAGACGAACCACCAACACGTGTTCCTCCGTGGGGCTGAACGGCTCCTGGAGAGAGACAAACAGTCACTAAGAGCTTCATAAACACACACACACACAGTCCAGCCAATCAGCTCTCAGGTACACCAGCAGCCAATCAGAACGCAGCCCAGTCCCAAAGCAGGCAAACTATCAACCAAAGGCTCAGCATGGTTTAATTGTTCTATTAGAGTACAGAGGTCTCACAGATCATAGGTAATACAAAATTATTATGATTATCATTAATTACTTTACCAAGTTGAGGTAGTAAAACGGTTTCAGGTTTTGTCAATGCTCTACAAAAATAAAGTAAATCCGGTATACAATTTACTCCTTTGATACTAGCTGACCTCCGTGCTCCATTAGCTGCTAAAAACAAAGCTGCTTTTTTTTTTTTAAATGATGCAAAATGTCATATAATGCAACGAAACACAAACCCTACCTGAAGGACGTTCAATTAAAAATATTTAAAGGAATGTACAGTCGATACTTAAATAATGTAATGACTGGCGTGTTAAAATAATGATTGTTCAGAGTGTAGTAGTCTCTTTGCTCAACTAAGATAATTATACAGATAACATCAAACCACTTCAACATGCACGAAGCAACGAAGCACACCAGTGTAAAAAGCATGCCTTTAAAAAAACAGAACCACATACAAACCAGAAAAAAAAGCTAAAATACTCAGATTACAAAAAGCTGCATTACAGGATTACTTTTCACCGTCAAGGATACTTCTCTGCAGAGATTCACCGCCAAAAGAGCCTGTAATGAATAGGGAACTAATGCCATTTAATAAAAGGTGGTTGTCTTTATCAATTGGGTTTGTTTTTGAAAATATTTAATGCATCAGGCATTAGCATCTCCCTGGTTCCAAGCTAATGGGTTTTCTCCATGGGATCCTTATAGGCTATAAAGGAACTACAGCAAGGTCACATGACTTCACGTCACCACCGCTAAGCTAAAGGTGGCTAATGTTGGGCTATAAAGGAACTACAGCAAGGTCACATGACTTCACGTCACCACCACTAAGCTAAAGGTGGCTAATGTTGGGCTATAAAGGAACTACAGCACGGTCACATGACTTCACGTCACCACCGCTAAGCTAAAGGTGGCTAATGTTGGGCTATAAAGGAACTACAGCACGGTCACATGACTTCACGTCACCACCGCTAAGCTAAAGGAGGCTAATGTTGGGCTATAAAGGAACTACAGCAAGGTCACATGACTTCACGTCACCACCGCTAAGCTAAAGGAGGCTAATGTTGGGCTATAAAGGAACTACAGCACGGTCACATGACTTCACGTCACCACCGCTAAGCTAAAGGTGGCTAATGTTGGGCTATAAAGGAACTACAGCACGGTCACATGACTTCACGTCACCACCGCTAAGCTAAAGGAGGCTAATGTTGGGCTATAAAGGAAACTACAGCAAGGTCACATGACTTCACGTCACCACCGCTAAGCTAAAGGAGGCTAATGTTGGGCTATAAAGGAACTACAGCACGGTCACATGACTTCACGTCACCAACGCTAAGCTAAAGGTGGCTAATGTTGGGCTATAAAGGAACTACAGCACGGTCACATGACCTCACGTCACCACCGCTAAGCTAAAGGAGGCTAATGTTGGGCTATAAAGGAACTACAGCACGGTCACATGACTTCACGTCACCACCGCTAAGCTAAAGGTGGCTAATGTTGGGCTATAAAGGGAACTACAGCACGGTCACATGACTTCACGTCACCACCGCTAAGCTAAAGGAGGCTAATGTTGGGCTATAAAGGAACTACAGCACGGTCACATGACTTCACGTCACCACCGCTAAGCTAAAGGAGGCTAATGTTGGGCTATAAAGGAACTACAGCAAGGTCACATGACTTCACGTCACCACCGCTAAGCTAAAGGAGGCTAATGTTGGACTATAAAGGAACTACTGCACGGTCACATGACTTCCATCACCACCGCTAAGCTAAAGGTGGCTAATGTTGGGCTATAAAGGAACTACAGCACGGTCACATGACTTCACGTCACCACCGCTAAGCTAAAGGTGGCTAATGTTGGGCGTGATGACGTTTAGTCGTCTCATTTAGACACTTGTTAGCAACCATTTTTTGTAAATCCACCAGTGGGGGATTTACTGACGTATTTTATGTCGTAGAATAAAAATCTCTTTAGCATCTTATAACCAGACTTAACCAAAAAACATTGACTTCCAGAAGAGCTAACCACGAGTGCTAACCTGCTATTTTCTAGGTTTCAGTAATCATTCCTGCACCCCTCTTTATGAGAGAAGTATCCTTGACGTTGACCCTGACTGAGCTTTACCTCCAGGAGACCCCAGAGGGACAGGGGTGAATGAAAAGGTAATAGTACTTGGTAGGTGTTGAGGGTCCCAGAGCCTGGTGGGGTGAAGGGTTGGCTCGGCATGCTGGACATACTGAGGCGGTACTGAAGCAACGCCAACTTCTCCCCCGTTACCACCAGGGGGGAGAGTAGGAGGAGGAGGAGGAGGAGGAGGAGGAGGAGGAGGAGGAGGAGGAGGAGGAGGAGGAGGAGGAGGAGGAGGAGGAGGAGGAGGAGGAGGAGGAGGAGGAGGGA